CGTGTCTCAACATTCAGTTATGCAGACATATGTGTTCTTAAAAGCAATTCTTTGTTTTAGCGTGGAGGGGTGGAAGCCGTTTTGGTTCAGTGCGCATTAACAAAGCCGGTGCTTCTTATTTACATCTAGTCAAAAGTGTTGGTAATAATGTTTTAATCACACTAATTTTGTGATTCTGACAATGTCTCAGCTTGCAGTGATGGAAGCATTTTATTTTAAAAACAGCACAAAATGGCAATTTCTTCTGAATGGGCAATTTCAGCCTTTCCACAAGCGTTTCGTTTAATCAAACCACTAGTTTTAGTTTAACTAGTTTTTTACGCATCTACTGGGGTTTCTTTCACGGGTTGATGCGATCATTTTATTTAAAAATCGGGATTTCGGGATGTTGAACTAGATGGAGACAGAGCCAGCTAGTTGTTTAAAGTGGTAAGCTCTTTTTGTAATTCTTCGAGAAGGTAAAAGCCCCGCAGATGTACCAGTCGAGCAGGGTCTCGCCTATTTTCAGAAGTAGCCAGCAACAGCGGACCCTTAGGCCTATCTTGGCAAGTTACACCGGAGCTTAGCAACTGCGTGCCCCACCCTCATTGTTTTAAACTTGCACAGCAAGGTGATGCCCTGCAGGTGTATCGCCCCCCAGACTTATCGACACCCCATCTATTGTTTTTGGAAGCACCCGGTCCTATATGAAGCTTTCCTGAGAGCGTGAGACCCTTGACATTTCGCGTCAGGACCAGCGCCGGTGTTGTGCCAAAAAGTGATTGTCTGCCAAAAAGTGATTGTCTGCCAAAAAGTGATTTCCGGTATTTGCCAAAAACTGATTGCTCGTATTTAAACTGCTATAAGTAACTTGTTGGGCTATAATATGTGAAACATATGTTAAATGCATCCCTCATGGATGACATAAAGTCATATTGAGCCACAAACAACATTCGTGTAACAAGATAGAAGCCGCAATCAGTTTTTGGCAGTGACTTTTATATAACCTTTATTTATGCAGTTAAAAAATCTCATTAACATTAAAAATGTCTTTTGTCAGAGTAAGCTGGCCAAGAGGACAGCAGAAATGGCAGCAAATATGACAATAGTTCTGTTAAAATATTTTAAACGAGGATAAAGGACCGGATTGGTTATAATGTAAGTACAATAACACAGAGCTGTAAAGATACTTGAAAAAACAGATAATTTTTTAATTCAATATATAACCCCTTTGTAAACGCTGTTCACCGAAGTCTATTTATCAACATACATCAAGATATTACACATAAAAAAAATACACGGAAACATTGGAAATCGGTTTTTGGCAGGCAATCACTTTTTGGCACAACACCGGTGCAGACCATTTTCTACCACACAGAGCGTTTCTGACAGGCTGGCGTTGCTTATGCATAAGAGAAAAGCAACAATACAACGCGGTTCTCTGCTCCAGGACATCACGGGTCCTTTCACACGGTAAGCATGTGTGTTATAGCCGGCGCTTTATAAATGTCTGTTTGGCAGCGCAGATTATTCAAACTGTTTTTAAAACGTGACTCATTTGTTATCCAAAAAACATTTCCTCTAAATTTGCAAAATTACTGATTTAAAAATATATATTTTCGAATTTTTAGCTGGATGTCAAACATATGATAGACTCTTGAGCATATTTATATAGCAAAATTCACAGTGGCATAACCATAAAAGATGCCCAACTGTGCACCAATGCACTCTAATGCAAGCCTTTAAACTGTATGCTAAGCGAATGAAGTATACCTTTACCTCTATAGCTGAAAAGAGTCTGCATCCATAATTTGTGGATCTATTGATTTGTTTTTAATGTGGCACTTTTTTTTCACGAACTGCAGATGATGAAATCCTCTTTATTTGAGAAATTGTCCCTAAGGTATTGCTACTCATACTTACTGAGTTCCCTAGCTACTTCTTTAATATGTCAGTAAACTTTTTGAACAAGGCAGGTATCGTAGATTTAAAGACACATCTTCAGTGAAGCAAAGGCAAAAAATTGGAATGAATTGTATGTGGCTGTTCATATTAAATCCATCAAAGAGTGAAAATCCAAAAAGCTGCTGCAATCCTTTGTATTAATGATCTGTGTGTGTGTGTGTGTGTGTGTGTGTGTGTGTGTG